CCCGGGCAGGGAAGTCTGTGATCGCTTTGAACTGTGATCCTCAGATCTCAGCCTCCTGAGTGGCTAGGATTACAGATATGAGCCACCAAGCACCCAGCTACACACTTAAAATTTTAAAGGAAAAATGTTATGTCTTATTATACCATGATCCTGGCTATAGATTTTCAAAACTTCTGAGAAAAATCTTAAAGTTTTCACAGGTCATCTGAAACTTACAAACTTAACATTATCAAAGAAAGAATGCTTTTTACACTCTTACAAAGACCAGGAGAAAGAAACAACAATTAAAAAATTAAGAAACTGTCTCAAAGGCTCCACAGTAAGGTTATTAAATAATCCAATCCATGCACAAAATGGCTCTCTGCATATGCCCTGGCATCTTCTGCCATACCATTGTATATTTATTCATGACTGAGATAAGAGTTTTCTTAACTTCTTTATTTTGATAAGTAGGAACTGTTCTGTTATCTCTGGGCTCTCATCCTCTCCTATTTATACAATGAATTCTATGGAAAATAGGGAGAAGCTCAGTATTGGCTGCTCCCATCATAACCACCACTTCCACCACTGCCTCCTGGATCATAGTTTCCTCCACCATATGGTCTTCTGATGTTTCTGCCACCACTCTTCATTGGACCATAGTTAGAAGGTTGCTGGTTGTAATCTACAAAACCATTGTAATTTGCACCTCCACAATTTCCTCCTCTATAGCTGTCTTAACAACCTTAGCCCCCCCCTGGTTGCCATATCCATGACTTCCACTACCATACCCTCTTCTTCTTCTTCTTCCTCCATAACCAGGGCTACCTCCAAGTCCTCCTCCATACCCATGATGGTCATCCCCAAATCCACGACCACTTCCATATCCATCAGATCTTCCTCTAAAGTTACTTCCGGGTCCTGGTCCAAATTTTACATTGCCACAGCTAGAATTCCCCAAACCAAAGTTCCCTCCTCTTCTACTCCTAGAACTTTGGACCTCTTGCATTTCTTGTCTAGACAGTACCTTCCTTTTTTATGCATTGTGACCATTGGTAGTGTTTTTTTTTTTTTTTGACAGTCCTGGAGCTTGAACTCCATCCCTAAGCTCTGACCCTGATTCTCTGTGTTCAAGGCTAGCACTCTACACATGAGCCACATTAACCACATCTGGCTTTTACTGTTTATTGGTACTGAGGAATGGAACCCAGGGCTTCATGCATGCTAGGCAGGCACTCTACCACTAAGCCAACATTCCCAGCCCAAAAGTGTGGCATTTTTGCAATACAGTTTTATATACAGGACCTTGGTCATCAAAAATAACAAAGCCAAAGCCTCTTTTCTTTCCAGACTGCCTATCAGTAATTATTTTAATGGTATCAATTTTTCCATGTTCTTCAAAGTAATCTCTAAGGTGATGTTCCTCAGTATCTTCTTTAATTCCACCAACAAACAGCTTCATCACTGTCACAGGAGCCCCTGGTTTTCCAGACTCCTCTTTTTTTTGGCTCAACCACTCATCAACTGAATGAGGCCTGGCAGCCATGGCAGCATCAACCTCAGCCATGGATGAGAAAGTTACAAAACCAAATCCTCCTGATCTTTTGCTTGCAGGATCTCTTATAACCACAGTTTGTGAGCTTTCCCCATTGCTTGTAGTAGTTTCTCAAACTTCCTTCTGTGGTTTCAAAGCTTAAGCCATCGTGGACTCAGTCACACAGTCTGATTTCCCGCAGCCGAGGGAGATGAAAGAGATCTCCGTGGATGAACAAGAACAGAACTCGTTCTGGTGCTGTAATGAGAACTGCAGCTGCTGGAGGAACACCGTCCAGCGTCCTGCACATGGAACTGGCGCTGCTGCTATTCAACTTTATTTGTTTTCAAGATTGTTTTAGCCACTAGGTCCCTTGCAATTCTGTGTGAATTTTAAGATTGGTATATTCATTTCTTTAAAATAGGTATCTGGGATTCTTTATTTATTGGGAAGGGGTTATCTATCGATTGCTTTATGGAATCAATATTGCTATCTTTAAAATAAAGTTTTTTGGTCCATAAACATGAATTGTCTTTTCACTTCTTTAAGTTATCTTTAATTATTTCAATCACACTTTGTAGTTTGTAGTACACAAAACATTGTTATATTTTTCTCTGAGGACTTTAACTTTTTTCTTTTTGATGGTAATAGAAATGAAATTGTTTTAAGACTTAATGTCATTTTTAGATTGTAAGTTATAATCACATAAATGTAAGATTGATTTATCTTGTAATTTGCAACTTAGTTGTATTCATTTTTTAGCTTGAAGTTTTTAAAAAATATTGTAATATGTTAGTAGTGATAGTTTTATTTCTAATGCTGCAGTTTGAATGTCTTACTCATTTTTCTTGTTTGGAACTTCTCGAATTTTTTTTTCTTGGAATAGGGACTGACAAGTCTCCCTCATTCTCTCCCAAGTTTCTGGGGCCACAGGGACACACCACTGTACCTGGCTTTATAGGGCTGAATAGCAGGGCAAGAACAGACATTCTTGTTTAGTTTTTGATTTTGGTAAGAAAGCTTTCAGCCTTTCATCCTTGAGTATAATATGGATAGTATACTTTTCATAAATGTTTCAAATTGCTTTTAAAAGGTCAATTCTTAACATTTGGGTTAGCTTCTTTGTTCCTTTTATGAGGAACTTTCATGAGACTTTTTGGCTTTTCTGTCATTTTTGCCCATCACTAGAAAAGGCTTAGGGAGGTGGGGTTTGTTTCAAAGAGGAGGAATAAAATTGATAAACTTGGAATAGGAGCAGTTGGATTAATCGATAATGATATCTTGATTTTACCTTTTAAAATATTTAAAATGATCTTTTAATAATTGTATAAAGGGATTTAGTTTAACAGATGGTTTTGTGTACAATTCATATTGATCATTTTCTCCCCTTTCATTATTCTCCCTTCCATCCATCCCAATCCCACCTTGCCCTCAAGTTTTCTAGTTCCAATTTTACATTGAGTATTAGATACATTGAGTATTAAGACTGTATTTATCGACCATTCTTCTCTTCATTCATCTAAGTATTAAGACTGTATTTGTCCACCATTCTTCTCTTCATTCATCTACTCTCTTCCCTTAATTCTTACTTTTCTCATACAAGGCATGTTTCATCTTTCTAATACTCATTTTGTTAAATTGTTAATTGTTCCAAAGTGTTATACCATGGAAATCTAACCCTGTGTATATCATACTTTAGTCAGTTTGATTATATATATAAATATGTGTATAGCCCTGTATGCATTTTTATAAGTTCATATTTTATATCTAACATGTAGGTACATTGATTATACGGATATCTGGCCTTTGCAGTTAAAGTAATTAACTTATTATCTTTAAGTAATGGTGTAAAGGGATTTCAGTTCAACATGTCAATTGATGCTTAAAAGACATCTTCATCTATGTCATCCTTCCATCATTCCACTTCCTCCCATTTGTCCCAACCCCACACATACTCTCAAGTAAGAACAACTTATTTGTTGTTCTCATAACTTTTTATCTTAGTATATTAACACATTCGGAAATAACTTTTATGTGTAGATAACCATTTCATATTATATGAAATCATTATTTTACAATTTTGTATTTTTACTTGAACATATTTTATGATCTTGCATGTTAATAAACCTTTATTCTTTTATTGTCTGAGTAGTTTTGTATGAAGTTAGTGTATCATAATTTATTTGACAATGAGATTGTCTCATGTTTAATAATACTGCGAAACCTATCATTGTGTAAGCCTTCTTTGAGAATAATGAGACCTTTGACCTGGTAAAGACTGAGAGCTATGGTTTATGGTCTAGCATATTTATTGGTCATTCCTGGTTTCATCCTTGTGAGTTTCCTATTCAGATCTTTTAGCCATTAAAAAAATTGGATATATTTTGTTTTTCCTTAAAGAATTTTTGAAGTGCTTTTGTTGAAATACTTTGTATTCTTCAGGATCCATTTTCAGTTAGTCGTTAAGCAATATCTTTCTTCCTTGTGACTCATAAGGATGGTATATCATTTTGTTTTATTTAACACTAATCACAGACAGAATCAGATGAATAAGGTATCAGTGAAATAGATATTTTGGGAATTTAAAAAATTAAAAAAATTCCTAGTCATTGTTATAGGAAGTGAATATATTGTGACTGTTTCATAAATACTTGTAGGAAGAAGGATAGTGTGAATGTCCCTAGAGCAAATCACTTGGAATAACATTGCATTGTACACACACACACTTGAAATAACATTGCATTGCGCGCACACACACACACACACACACACGCACGCACGCACGCACGCACGCACACACACAGTGGGATTTAAATGCAGGCCTTTGAGCCTGTTAGGCTTTAGCACTTTTGCTATGATTATTTCGTAGTTTGGTCTTGCTTTTTGTCTGGACTGGTTGGGACCACTATCCTCTTATTTACCTTAACTACTGTAGCTGGGATGACTGGTATAGATGACCATGCCCAGCTTGAGATGTGTCTCAGGAACTTTTTGCTCTGGCTGGCCTTCAACAGTAACCTTCCTGATCTCATCTACCTGAGTAGCAGAGGTTACAGACAGGTGCTATCTATCCTGCTTGATAGTAGTTTGTATTTAATTTTATCTGTGTGTCTACTGGCTTTTGTATATGAAAAAGGAGTAGTTACAGTGACAGAATTTAATGTGTTAAAAAATGATATTTAGAACAGTGCAGATCTACTCGTAAATCTTCTATAACTCAGTGACTATCATTTTTATTTGGGGTGATTAATTTGATTGAAAAATATAACTAATGCAACAGAACTTACAAGTATATAGAATTTGTTTATGTGTTTTACATTATTTGTAAGACTTTTTGAAATATTGAAACATTTGGAGAATTGCAATCTAGTTGATTTAATTTAGTTTGAAAATATTTTGAATGTTTACCCTTTTCTGTATTTCTTTACAAAACAGTGTGGTGTTTATAATGCTATTTACCATACTTTTATTCTGTTTTATTATGTAGGACCAAACAATCTCAGATTGTCATTACTGAAGGTATATTTGAACTTCCAAATCTTACAATTCAAGGTACAAGAGCCCAGACACTTATGCTGCAGGCAATCTATCAAAGTTGGTCTCATATTGGAAATGTGAACTCTTTAGCAGTGAGTGAAGCTTTGATGAATGAAGTCTTCCAAACTACAAGTAAGTGAGCAATTTTGTTGATGGTCATGTGGAAATTATGTTTTAGAGCTGACTACTGTCATTCAGATCTGCATGTCTAACATGTTCCACCTAAATTATAATCTATTTCTTGTGAAAGTGGATATTTATAGCTTATGTTTGATGTCACTAGTAAGGATTAAGCAATCCAGTTTTGTTTCCTAGAACAAATTTCTGGATCTGTTTTCTATTTAAAAGACATTATTAGTATTATTATTTACCAACGGTTCATTTAATTTGCCTGTGGGCCTCACATAGGTAACTATGGAATTGTTAATATGCATATTTAAATAGATAAACAAGCCAAGTATGCTGTATGTTTGATTATGCTGGAAAAGTGAAATATTTTCTTTTTTTTTGGTCGGCCGTGGGGCTTGAACTCTGGGTGGTAAAGTGAAATATAGTTACTCATAACATTTGATAAGACATAGCAGGCTTTTTTTGTGAAAACATTAATATAACATCTTGAAAAGTTAACTACTAAAAACAATTTCTGTTTTGATCTGATCTTAGTTTAATTTCTTCATCTTCAGTTTGCAGATAAACAGTTTATAGGTTTGGTTTTACAATTTTAGCTTCAAAATAATCATATCTGTAAGTGACCCCTAGTTGTTAAAGATGAGACACTTTAAATGTAATTATTCTTTATTTATCTTGTTAAATAATTATTTTAAATTCTTCACTAATGCTTCTTAAAGGTTTGAGACTTTAGTGTAGGGAATATAGCACAAATTCTGATAGGGTCTAGTATGTAATTACAGTCTGCTTAAATTAGCCCGTTCTTCCCCTTCCCCCTCCCCTTCCCCTCCCCTTTCCTCCTCCCCCACTTCCCCCTTCCTCCTCCTCCTCCTCCTCCTCCTCCTCCTCTTCCTCCTCTTTTTTTTCTTCTTCTTTTTCTTTTTCTTTTTCTTCTTCTTCTTCCTCCTCCTCCTCCTCCTCCTCCCTCCTCCTCCTCCTCCTCTTCTTCTTCTTCTCGTATTTTATGGTTGTTGACTGATATATTTAGAAATGTAAAAGAATGACAAGATGAATGTTGCATTAACCTATAGTCTCTTCACTAAGAGCTCTGAGTTTTTGAACCTGATAAAGAACTGTACATATTTTAGCATCTGTATTATTTTTTTTTCTTTTTTGCCAGTCCTGAGGCTTGAACTCTGGGCCTTGGTGCTGTCCCTGAGTTTCTTCTTGCTCAAGGCTAGTACTCTACCACTTGAGCCGAAGCACCACTTCTGGCTTTCTTGAGTAGTTTATTGGAGATAAAGAGTCTTATGGACTTTCCTGCCTGGGCTGGCTTTGAACTGTGATCCTCAAATTTCAGCCTCCTGAGTAGCTGGGATTATAGGTATGAGCCACTGGTACCCAGTGATATTCTCTTTTTGAATTGATTCTTTTTCTCAGTGTGTTGAGTGTACCCCGGTCTTTTGATTCATAAATAATTTTTCTTGCTTTAGCATAGTTACAACAGCTTTCTTTTGGTTGGTTTTTGCTTGTACTTCTTCTTCCAGTCTTTTACTTAAAAATGAATGTATTGAGGTATATAGCTTGTGAAGTTCTCTTATGCCCCTGCCCTAGGGGGCTGGTAATGAAGCTATACTACTTTCTACTTTTCTCTGCTGCCTTTATATTTCTTTCTGCTTTTAAATTTTTTTTATTGTTATTATAAAGATGATGTACAGAATGTTTAGTTACACAAGTCAGGCAAAGAGTATACTTCTTTTTGGACAATGGCACTCCTTTCCTCACTCACTCCCAGTTTTTCCCTCCCATCCCTACTTACAAGTTGTATAGTTGTATGTTGATTAGTTGGGACTTTAAAAATAGCTGTTTAACCTATTTTTTCCTTTAATAATTGTTAAGAAAGTCATTTACTGTACAGTAAATTAGATTATTTTATTTTATTGGATCATAGAATATAAAACAGTACCATAACTCAATCTTTTCATTCTAAATATTAAACTATTAATGGTGCTACAGAAATATAATACTTTTAATTTTAAGGTTTAAAACTGCAAAATGACTTCAGGAAGGAAAACAGTGTTTTTTTTGTTTATTTTTATTTTTATTTTATTTTTATTGTGAAAATACTGTACAGAGGGGTTACAATTACATGGGCAAAATAATGAGTACAGCCTCCTCCTTTGTTTCCCCTTCCCATCCTCCCCCTGTCCCCCTACCCAAACCCCCCCCCCCCCACCAAAGTTGTAAAGTTCATTTTCTACATAACGACTTGTATATCTCATTGTTGCAATGGGTCCACCTGTATCACTATTTAAATGATTTGTTTTTTCCCTTCCCCTCCACAAATTATACCGACATCAAATACAGTGAAAGCAGGGGTTATACTGTGGGGGAGGGACTGCTTGTTTTTGTTTGTTTGTTTTTTTTTGGTGCCAGTACTGGGGCTTGACCTCAGGGCCTGTCACTCTTGTTTAGCTTTTCATTCAAGTCTGACACTTTTACCACTTGAGCCACAACTCCATTATTGGCTTTTTGCCAGTTAATTGGATATAAGAGTCTTTTAGACTTTAGTCTTTTACCTAGGATTATTGTCATTAGGCACCTGTGCCTGGCTTGTAAAAGTTTTTTTTTTTTTTTGATAAACTATGTTATAGAGGCAAGAGATAATGTTTTTTTGTGTGTGTGTGTTGAGCCAAATCATTAGCTACTGTTTTGTGGTAAAACTTCTAGAGACTATCCATGTGAACACTGAATTGTGGCTCTAAAAAGCTACAAAACAAATTTCTTCCTCAACACTTGCAAACTTAGAGCTTAAAATTTGACACCCCCCCCCCACATAAACCCTCAAAGAAACAACAACCCAATTAATACATTGGCTAAAATACTTTAAAAGAGACCTCTCAGAAGAAGAATGGTCAATAGACACATGAAGAAATGTTCAGCATCTCTGATCAAGAAATAACATTGAGATTCAAATCAAAATAACATTGAAATTCCACTTCACCCCAATTAGAATGGCCATTATCAAGAAAACTAGGAATAACACATGCTGTCAAGGGTATGGCCAAAAGGGAACTCTGCTACACTGTAGGTAGGAATATAAACTTGTTCAACCAATCTGGAAAGCAATATGAGGGTTTCTCAAAAGATTAAATATAAAGCTTCCCTGTGATCCAGCAATTCTACCCCTGGATATTTATCCAATAGAACACAAACAAGGTCACACTAAAGCTAATAACATACTACGTTCATTTCAGCATTGTTTACCATAACCGATATATGGAATTAACTCACATGCCCAATAGTGAACAAATGGATCAAGAAAATGAGGTATATATACACAAGGGAATTCTATGCCTCCATCAGTAAGAATGATATTGTACCATTTGTCAGGAAATGGAAATGCTTGGAAAAATTATATTAAGCAAAGTAAGCCAGAGAAACATAGGTTGCATGTTTCCCCCCATTTGTGGTAACTAGAATGTGCCTATAAACCTACAAGTAAATACACTGCATGGTAAAGAAAAAATACACTAGAACATAATATATTATAAAGATCTCTAGGCATTCACACAGAGTTAGAACAAGAGAGGATATTCTTAGGAGAGGATCACAAAGATACATTAGCAATGAGCATCTGATCATACAAAATAATATCTATTGAAATGAACTCAAGGAGATAGAAACAAGAATTATTTTTCTTCATTGCTGGTTTTGATTTTTTCTTTTGTCCTGTTCATTTGTTTATCTGTCTTTGGGATGGTAAGGGAGTAGCATGGAAATGGTGGGACAAAGGGTAAACAAATGTAGCAGTGAAACTCATTAGACACTATGTTGAAAATGAACTATACAACTTGGGTGTGGAAATAGGAAGAAAAACTTGGAGAGAGCAGGGGAAGGGGTGACATTGTTGAAAAGGAAATGTATTCTTAGTTGGGTGTCACGACTCATGCATGTAATTTTTGCTACTCAGGAGGCAGAGATCTGAGAATCTTGATTTAAAACCATTATGGTCAGGAAAGTTGAGGAGACTCTTACCTCCAATAAACTACTCAAGAAAAGCTGGAGTGGTGCTGTGGCTCAAGTGGTAGAGCACTAGCCTTGATCAAAAGCTCAGGGACAGAGGACAGAAGACAGAGCCCAGGCCCACAGTTCAAGTCCCAGGACTGGCAAAAAAAAAAATTAGTCTTTATGTGATTTATGTACATCACTTTTACAATAACAATACAGACATTAAAAAATTAAAATGAAGGTTTTGCAAAGTATGCTTATGAAACAAAGTGTTATCATCATTATTATTGTTGTTAACAGTATTTAGGTTTAGGTTTGAACCCAGGGCTTTAACACTTGAGCCACTCTACCAGATCACTTTTTGTTTTTTACAAGACATAGTCTTGGTTTTTTATTAGGCTGGCCTGGACTGTAGTCCTCCTATTTGTTTTTCTTTATACTTCTGGGATGACACTATTCCCACCCATTGGTTGTGATGGAGTTAACTTGGACTAAGCTGGCTCTGAACTCCCAGTGTCTGTTTCCCAAATAGTTAAGATTTCAGGCTTGAATATACATGTCTGTCTATGCTAAATCTGTTCAGTGAATGACTTCTATCTCAGTCAGAGAATTATTTTAACTTTCAAGTATTGATATTTAAGAGACATCTCTGAATTGGTATGTGAAGAAACTCTAAGTGACTATACTTAATTTTAATTATTATTTGTTTAATCCTGGTACTGGGTTTGAACTCAGGGCTTGGGTACTCTCCCTTAGCTTTTTCGTTTGAGGCTGGTACTCTGTCACTTTAGCCACAGCTTCATTTCTGGCTTTTTGGTACTTAATTTAGGTAAGAATGTCATACACTTTTCTGATTTGTTTGGCTTCGAACCACAATCATGAGTAGCTACAATTACAGATAAGCCACTGACACCTGGCATTTCATTTTATTTTATTTTATTTTTTTATGTAGTGCTGTGGATCAAACACATGCCTCTATCATGCAAGGCAAGTTCTGTTCCCTGAGCTATATC